GCATTTTAACATTTTAGAAAGTTGATTTTAACTAGACATATTGGGGCAGGACTTCACTAACATTGGGTCAGAGGGTTAGATGGGAAAATGTAGAATCGAGCTTTCAAAGTAGAATAAAAACCGGTTCCATAGCTAATTTGCGTCATAAGGACTTGAATCAATTTTTAGCAGATTGTGTAGTTGTTTTTTAAAAGGAAAATTAGGAATATTTTGAACACCCATTGTGCGCTCAAAGTAAATACAACATTTTGCGGGGAGTTTATTAGGAAATCGGGGGATAATGAAATTTTGGGAATTAAATATATTAATACTAAAAATCATATTATTGATACATCAACTCAAATAGACGAGTGGTTTAAGATATATATGTGAAAGATAAACTTTTAAACGAATTATCGGAATTTGCTGAAAAGATTCGGGATTTGCGTTAAATAAAATTATTTCCTTAGTTGTTAATATCAGTAAATATCAATTGGGAAACGGTTCATCTTATATTAGACTACCAGAACCGATTATAAGGAAAAATGCTTGTATAAACATTAAAAATATAGATCAAAATTGCTTTTACTGGGCCATTGTAAGCGCTCTTCGGACTCCTAGCAAAAAAAGACATGCAGAACTAACCTCCTCATATCCACACTTTACTGACGTTTTACAAACAGAAAATTTAGATAGTCCTATGCTGCTAACAAAAATTTCAAAATTTGAAAAGATGAATAACATTTCAGTCAATGTTTACGCTTTAGAATTGATCGAAACAGAAAAAAATCATTTTACATAGTAGTACCAGCAAGATTAACGGAAAATAAACGGGATACGCATGTTAATTTACTTTTAGCTCAAAATAAATATTATCCGCGTTTAAATGATTATGATGCTCCTCCACCAGCGCCAGCAAATGAAGATAATGATTCAATCGATGAAATTAAATATCACTATTGTTGGATTAAAAATCTTTCGCGTCTTATTAGTAGCCAGTTAAATAAACATCGTGAGAAAAAATTTATTTGCGATAGATGTCTGAACTATTTCCATCAGCAAATAAATTAGTTGAACATGAAAAACTGTGTTCTAAATTTAATAAATATAAAATTAACCTTCCTAAAGAGAGCTGCGTTGAATTTAAAAACTTTACATACCAACAAAATACTCCTTTTGTTGTTTATGCAGATTTTGAATGTCAATTAGAAAATCATAAAGAAAGTAGCGTCGTAAATTTAACTAAAACCATAAAATATCAAAAACACGTTCCGTATAGTGCTGGTTTCTATGTAAAATGCAGCTATGATGATAGCCTTTCTTATTTCGAGAGCTTTCGAGGTGCAGATTGTATGGATTGGTTTGCAAATCGTATGGCTGGTGTTGCGCAATTTGTAAACTCAAAAATAAAAACAAGCGTACCTATGATTGAAAAATTAGACACATGTAAGGCAACATCATGTCATATTTGCGGTAAGAGATTTTCAAAAACAAAAAAAGACATAATCGTTAGAGATCACAACCATTTCAGTGGAGAGTTCAGAGGTTACGCACACCAAGCATGCAATCTGAACTTTAGAAAATTGTTTGTTGTGCCGGTTATATTCCATAATTTAAGTGGGTACGATAGTCACTTTATGATTTCGAATTTATGTAAAAAAGGTCGCTTAAGTCTACTTCCCATCAACAAAGATAAATACATCTCCTTTACGCTGCACTCAGATGAAAATAACATTAAATTGCGGTTTATAGACTCTTTTCGATTTATGGGGGCGTCTCTTGATGAATTAGCTTCAATTTTAGCAGTATCAGAAAAGAAAATTTTACAAAGGGAATTTCAAAATTTAGATGAAGATAAATTCAAATTATTAACACAGAAAGGAGTTTTCTGTTACGATTACATTGATTCGTTGAAAAAATTAAATGAAACGACTTTGCCCCCAATTGAAAAATTTTACAATAAATTAAACGATGAAAGTGTAAGTGACGAGAAGTATGCTCATGCGCAATCTGTTTGGCAACAGTTTAACATTAAAACATTAGGAGAGTATTCTGATATATATTTAAAAACAGATATTCTGCTTCTTGCCGACGTTTTTGAGCAATTGCGTAAAAAATGTTTCTCCACCTATGGTCTGGATCCTGCGTGGTACTATACAATGCCCGGATATACGTGGGACTGTATGCTCAAATACACTGGGTGTAAGTTAGAACTACTAAAGGATCTAGATATGGTGATGTTTTACGAAAATGCTATAAGAGGTGGAATTTCGGTGTGTAGCAACCGATTTTCGGAGGCCAACAATAAATATATGCCCGAATATGATCCTGAAAAGCCGTCCAAGTACCTTATGTACCTGGATGTGAAT